GGACGGAGCGCCCTTCGCTGAGAGCAGCCTCTCCGCTCCGCCGGGGACCAGGGTCGGGGTCCCCGTGCTGTGAGGAGGGGGCTACTGGCGTGGGAGGGAAGGGAGCCCCACAGAGCTGGAAGAGGTCCGGTGGCTCCTTGTGGGGAAGGAGAGGGGTGAGCCCCCAGTCCCCGCTGCCCTGGCGATCCCCCCGGACTTGCTCTGGGCTGCGTGAGAGGGAGCAGCAGAGGGAGGTTAGTGACCCCAGCGGCTCCCTTCCTCCTCCAGGCCCGGGGCTCCCCTCGCCTGGAGTGCCCTCTGCTCCCCCGCCCTCGGCCCTACCTTTTATTTTTCTGCCTTCTCAGTGCACTTCTGTGCTAGCTTGCCTTTCTGGAGACAGCCTGAGGAAATCAGCCTCTTTCTCTGTTGTAGCTGCTCAAAAGAAGTTGCAAATCAACTTTTGCTACTCAGATACATATAGTTTCTCTACAGTAAAATATTAAGTGTTTTACAGCACTGGGAAGCTGGTGGAGTTCGTGGGAACAACTGAAGCTTTGTGAAAGTGTGAAAATAGTTTTGTGGGAGCTGTACTGATTGTTAAAGCAAATAAATGGCTAATTATGATGATTTTTTGTTCTGTCCTGTCTTCTTTTACCATTCTTTTTGTGTTGTTCTTACACCAACAGATTTTGAGAAGAGAGGAAAGAAGGAAGTGTGTCCAATACTGGATCAGTTTCTTTGTCATGTTGCTAAGACTGGAGAGACGATGTAAGTGTGACTTTTTTGATGATCTTCAGTTGTAGCTTGTAACAGCTTTGCATTTTAAGTCAGTGAGACACTACCTGGATTCTCTATTAGTCTGTAGGTTGCTTTTGTGAGCTGAATAAGCTTGCCTCAGTTCCCATGTCATTTTGGATGGGTTAGTTTTGTTGCTGGTAGTTTTATCTAATAGAGAGACTTTTTATGTGGGCTTTGCTCAGGGGTATCTGTCAGGTCTTGCTGATCCTGCTCAGTACAGTAAACCTGTTGCTCTTTCTACATTTTATATGATATTCAGTGTTTTTAAATTGAAAGTTTAGCTCACTGTTGTTATATCTGTTGTATACACTATCTAGTAGTATTATTTACTTAAATATATGAATGGCTTAAATGATTTCTTTCTAGGCTTTCTATACCACGCTGTGTGACGATTGCATCTAAATGCTTTTGATGGAGGTGGGAGACTTGCATAGGTGTTTTTTGCAGAGGAGACGTGTGGGATCTGCTCTGACTTTCCATAGCCGCTCTTTTTTTCAGCTCGCTGCAGTTTGACTTTTCCTGGCCCCCCGTCCCAGATGGCCCCGGCGGGTCGCTGTCCGCAGGGGTGTTGTGTCTGCAGGAGCCCTGCTCCCCGCTGCATAGGGGTGAGCGCGGGTGCTGTGCTGGGTGACTTCCTTGCGGGATCACTATTTGGCAGGAAGGGGAACGGCTTCCCTGGGTGCCTTGCTGTAGAGCTGCTCACTTTCTGGCTCCCAGGCTGTCTCCTTGTTTTCGAGGCCTAGTGCCAGACTACAGGCTTCAGCAAGAGAAACGCGCTCTTACCAGTGTTTTGTTAGCAACCAGTGATGCGGGGGCTTTGTTTGGGTTTCTAGAATCCCTCTGACTTGTAAGAGATTTGTAGGTTTTGGTGGTTTGTTGTTGTTTTGGTGGGAATTTTTTTTGTAGCTTGCTAGTACTGCCTGAATTAACGGTTTTGAAAGAAAAACAAGTTCTGAAATGTACTTTGCTCTTTGAATAGAAGGCTTTGCCTCAGCAGAAATATACAGCTGTAATGCTCAATATTTTGGTGTAGTACTTATTTTAGTATGGGCTTACTGTGGTGTGTTTTGTCTGTTTAAAATATTTTTCCTGTCCTGAAATATTTCTCCAGGCTGTTTTTATTGTTTCTGCTACTATTACGTCTTTTCCAAAGTAATATTAAAAAGTGATTGTACAAGGGCCAGTTCTTGGGAAAAGTCTTCCCTATGTGAAACCTGGAAAAAGAGTAAACCCCTGATTTTATTTGGAAATCTAGTGGGTTTTTTTTGTCAACTATTATTTATTACAAACTATTGCTTAAACCTGAACTGGAATCGGCCATCTAGAACTTCATGCAGACCTTGGCCTTCTGTTTTTCTAGAGTTTTCTTTGGCTTTTTTTTTTTCAGGTCTGTAGCTTTTTTCAGCATTGTTGAACCTTTTAGTTGTGTTCAGTTGTTTTTTTAAAAGTGTCATACGCGAACATTGGGAGTATCCAGTATAATCTGGAGACATGGATGTGTTTTTCTGTAATGTTTAATTTGCTTCCCATTATCTACAAAAGTCCGTATTTCTTCATCAAATATGCTTCTCTTTTCACTGATGTGTTATGTATCAAAGTATTATCAAAGTAAAATTTAAAATCTCATTACAAAGATGGGTAATATGCATTGTGAGAACATAACGTATTTTTAAGCTAGCTCAGCTTGACCACTGTAAAAGTGTTCCTGAATACACAAACCTACCAAATAGATGTTATTTCAAAATGAGTTAAATATTATTTCCAGTGACGCAAAAATGAATTTATTTGATAAAAGTCTAAATCAATAATAAATAGATTGCCTTGAAATGAGAAGATGAAGTCTGAAATACTGTTTGTAGTGATTTTTATTAGGATTTTTACAAAGTTCAGTGCTCAGTTTGGGGAAAAAAAATGGATGATTAAGTCGAGGGTAATTACACAAATGGTTTGCAGACTTATTAATTGAAAAACAATGGATCTTATTCAGTCACAGCCTGTTCGTAAAGTAACAGAAAGTACTCGTGTAAGCGAGGGCCAAGGCAAATAAGGACAAGCAAAATGTGAAGTATTTTTGCTTAAAGTTACTGTTGTTTCTAGGAGAGTTATGTAGTGTTCATGGGGGTTCTCTCAGCTTTTTTACTTGCTCTGTGATGAATACTGGTTTTCAGATTATATGTTGCAGTGTGCGTCTTGGGTTAAATGCGGAGTATTCTCCTCCCTTCCACCTCTTCTGGACATAGTTGCAGCAGGTCTTGTAAACAATTAGTTAAGATAGTTTGAAAGGCTTCTAATGAAGTAAATTAAAATCGCTTTTAAGTTTCTCATCAAAGCACACTGGTGACATAAATACCTTGTTTAACAGATGGAAAGCTCGGGCTTGTGTGAGGCTGTTGAGCACCTCCCTGGCCCTGTGTGCTTCAATGTGCTTATTCATCTGAGTGAGTTATGAACACGTTGATGCAGGTTTAGGTTAGGGTGTAATTTTACTGTATTTCTCTCAGCAGCAGTCTTGGCTACCACAGCCCCTGTGTCACTCTTTGAGTTCTGCTTGTTCAACTGTTTATGTAGCTGCATGGTAACCTAAAGCAGGAAACTGCTTGCAGTTGTAACTGTGGCAGTACTGTTTTTAACACTGTTCGGTTTATTGATCCAACTTGTTCTGTCCATGTGAACTTGTATGTCAGTCCCCAGCACAACTGAAGAGGTGATGTAGGGGAGGAACAGAGGGTGAGAGTTGTATAAGCCAGTGCTGCAACTGTGATAACATTCTTCAGAGTATGTCTTTGTTGTAATTAAAAGTCTCATTCATTTACAAGGAAGGTCTGAATAAAAATATTGCCAAATTTGTTTATATTATCAGCATACACTTAGTTGGGTTATCAGTACCTTGCAGTAAAGGCCTGATTGTACAATCATGAGTATTGACTTCATCTGTGTGACGTTTAAGCTGTCTTCTTGTGCAGAGTTAACCATTCACTTAATTGTTTTTGAGACTATGGCATGCATTTACAAAAGCCAGTCTAAACTTCCTTTTTAAGGGTGAACAGAAGCAAAAGTTTGATTGCTTGGCTACTTGGTAATATTTTTGTTTCTTAATGGTTGCTATGGTAAGACTTAGCCTTAGGTGAAATATGAAGTTTATGGTTCAGCCTTTTTTAATCTTGTGTTGAGTCTTAGGACGTTTTTCTTTTCAGAGGAGTGATGTACTGCTTCATTGACTTGACTTTTTACTAAGATAAAAATGTGGAATTTCCTTAGTGGGACCAAGTATGGTCAGGGAAGATCATTATAACTTCCTCTTCTCTAGTTTATAAAAGATCAACATGACTTGCAAAACTGAGTAAAGTGAAGAGATACAAAATCTATCTTAATATTTTGCTGTATCTGAAAGACTTCTTTAAAAACAGCATATTTTTGGGTGCCTTTTTCAGGAGAAATCCATCTATTTTTTCTGAGGTAGCAGTGGCTTTAAGAGATGATACAAAAGTCTCAGCACTGCAGTACTAGAAGTGACATGCAACAGTGAAATATTTTTTGTTATTCCAAAGAATTCTTGAAGAATGGATATGAAGATCACTTATCAGCTGTGATCTTGTGTCTTATATTTAAAATATGCTTTCTCTTTCTACTTGGGAAACTCTCCTGAATTTAAAATCACCCTGCTTCTTCAGTAGCAAAAATGTTTCTAAACCATTTATTTAAGTACTTCACCAAGAAAATCCAGTTTGCTGGACTGGAAAGAAAAACTAGGATTTTACTTTGGTTCTAAAGTAGAAAAGAAAATGTGGAAAACAAACGCTATCAAAAATTTTATGTCAGTTTTCTCTGCATTTCCCCCACTCCTGCCCTGGGGCTGGAAACCTATAAAACACAGTTTTAATGGCTTGCTGTAGCAGAAAGTATAATACAAATGCCTACTGACAGTGAAGGAATCCAGAAATAAGTAGTAAAGTACCAAAATCTGGAGAAACACAGTATGTAGACAGAAGTGATTAACTGTAAAATAGTTCTAGGCTTAAGTAGAGAACACTGGCCTGGCCAGGATGTAATGTAGTTATACCAGTTCTTGCTCTGAATGCAGTATAAACAGCCATTAGAAGTCGTGCTGTTTTTTATTTCTTTGCATAGTCAAATTCTTTCCTCAGAGTTTCCCTGGAGGATCTGGAATATTCATTTGTACCTCATCTAAGCTTGAAGACAGAAGTTGTGTTTTTGCTAGTTTCCTTGAGGACCAACATAAATGCTTTTCTACAAAGTTTCTTGAATCAAGTTTAATATGTGTGATTGTAGAGGAAATGTTGGCGTCTGTAATATCATCATAGAATAGTGCGAGTTGGAAAGGACTTCTCGAGGTCATCCAGTCAGACCCTGTACTCGAGGGGAGCTAATTCCAGAATCAGTTCAGGTTGGGTAGGGCTTTGTGCAGCTCTTCGGCATCTCCAGTGATGGCAATTCCCTAGCCTCCGTTTGGCTCCCTGTTTCACTGCTTAACCATGCATTCTGGGAAAAATGTTTTCCTTGCAGAAACTTGGGAGTTTGCCTTGGAGCAACCTGGGACCACTACCCCTTACCCCTCATTTGTGCATCCCTGACAGGAATCTGTTTCCATCTTGCCTGTACACAATTACCCCTTCAGTGGGGAAAGCTAGCAGTTAGGTTCCCCCACCATAGCCTTCTCCTTCCCAGAAGATGTGCTGCCTCAGCTTCCCACCTGCACCGTCTGCTGCAGCTCTGTTAACCGTCTTAGTGGCCTTCTGCTCATCTCTCTCTTCCTGCTCTCTTTTCCATTGTCTGACCCCAAACTGGACATAGCATTGTGGTTATGGACTCCTAAGTGCCAGGTAGAGGGCTGCGATCTTTCTCTGATACTGCAAATGTAACCCAGTGTGCAGGCAGCCTCTGTCGGAGCAAGGCCACACTGACAGATGCTCAGCTTTCCCTCTGCCAGCACAGGTATTGGCCCCAGCCTT